TTCAAGTGTTTTTTGCCGTTTTTAGGAAAAACAAAATGGCGGGAAAAGTCACATGACCGCTAAAGTTTTTATTGCTGATATCTATTACACATGAGTTGTACTATATACCATAACAAAATCTAGACGCCTAGACCCTCAGAAAGTGGTCAAACAGCCACTTCCGGTTTTATTTCAATCCAATATGGCTGCCAAACTAATTGACCAATCTAAATTCTGAAAGCATGTTGCACCAGTTCACATTAGGAACTATCAGTATAGAGCATTATCAGACCATTCCGTTCAGCGGTTTTCTCAAACGGCTTGACGAAAAAAGTTACGGCGGAAAGAAGAAAGAAAGAAGAAAAAACCGGACAATAAGAATAGGGGCCTCGCCCTTCGGGCTTGGGCCCCTAAAAATGTATCTGTCAAGTTGACAGGCAGCTGGCCAATACCGATCTGCGTCATGTTTTAACGCCGCCTTATATGGTCGATGCCGGAACTGGTTACAGGTAGAACATACTGCCATGCTCAGTAGTCACTGAACCCCACATCTGAACGTCAGAATAGCTAAATTATAGCTCAGTGTTACATAGACTTAGGGGTGGATTGTTAGGAACTCTAAAAAAGGGCAATGGTAGAAAAAATATGCAAATTATTTTTTTCCTTTACTTATTTTTGCACAATTTTTTTTTTCATATATTTGGTGTAATTTTTTATTTCACTGTGTGATATAATTTTTTCCTAGCCATTCTGAATTTATTCTTCTGTTATTGTGATCTGCAGGATTGTTTTTCCAATCCTGTCATTTATTATAATGGTCATCCTCTTACATTGTCTGTCTTTCTTATTTTTAGGTTAAGACCTATTTACGAGAAAAGCACCCGGAAAGAAATGTTGACAAAATTGTATGTGATTACAAGAAAAAGTTAACTAATGCAGAAATTGACCCAGAACAAAAATTACCGGTTGACGAATGGAGAATCAAGCTATGGAAAGAAGCTATTGAAAACGGTTCACCTGTGTCCAGTCAGCTTGCTAAGGAAGTGTATGAACTGTGGAAAACTACTCGACTACAGGGGATATACTTCACGGAAGAAGTCAAAACCTTGCTTGTAGAGTTGAGGAAGAATCATTGGCTTGTGTTGATGACAAACGGTGATTCAAAAGTTCAGAGAGAAAAAGTTTTGATGTGTAAGGCTGAAGATTACTTTGATGGTATCATAATCAGTGGCGATCACCCGCATGCAAAGCCACACCCATCTATATATGAAGTGGCTTTCAAAATGTTCTCCGTTAATCCCAAACAGTGCATCATGATTGGCGATAATCTGAAAACAGATATTCAAGGTGGGTTGAATTCTGGCTTGAGCTGTAATATTTGGATCAACCCCTCGGAGGCAGAGCCTAGTGGTTGTGACCCAGAACCTTGTTTTAGTATCCCATCAGTCCTACAGTTACAAGAGGTTTTGGATACTGTTCTGAAAAAGAAGTCGCGGTCATTGACTCACACTTGGGAAGTTTCTCTAATGAGTATTTTGACATTCTGACATTTGTAACATTTACATTTTGTGACAGAAATTATCTTATTGTGTTTTATTTATGGCAAATAAATGTTTTGTTTTGTTTTTGCCATTGTACCACCAGCTAGTGTCATATTTGTATCGTTATTGCATACTTCTTTGTATATTTTGTAAACAATTTATTTATTGTGTTTTTGGAGGCTTGAAGTGTGACACTGCTGAAATACCAGTTTTTTTATATCTCTTAACAAATATACTTGCTTGGTTCTACAGGGTCCATAGCGTTGGGAAAATCCTTTGAAAGTCTTTGGAATTTTTGAGATCTGGACAGTTTTTAAATTACAGACAAAATAAAAAAATCTTTGAAAAGTTTTTAAATTTCTTCATAGTTATTACCGGTAATTCATTTTAGAAAGGCCTGTTTTCTCTGCATAGAGTTTTTTTTTATAAAGTGTTTCTACCCCAATTCTGAGTGTCTGCAGTGATTGCTATCCCTGTGCTCGCCCTTCTATCATGTTGGCCTGAATTAAGGGTCAAAATGTCCTGAAAAAATGCAAGAAAGTTTGGGAAAAGTTTTGGAAATCATTTGGCTCTTGGTGCTATGGACCCTGTTCTAGCATAGAAGCGTCTGAAAATCATTAAAACTTTGTAGCTGTGAAAATTTGACTGTTTTATTTTTTTCAACATAATTAAGACACTGTGACTTTAGTGGTATTTAATAACATTTACAGTACTATCTCTCACTAAAGATTATTAGTTGTATGACATAAAGGTTAAACATTCTCTATTTAGTAATCCGGAATTAGAAACTAGTTTAATTCAAAGTCAAAAAAAAAAATGTGTTATAGAAATGTAAGGAAATTTATTAGTTTTGGTAATATTAGTAACTCTCAGTTTTGTATAACAGTCATATATTGTAGATCTCTGTGAAAGTGTGGGATATATTTCTGACATTATGATTCATATGTTGAGTATATTATTCAACTTATTTTATTACATGCCACACTTGGTGTTTGGTCTTTATTGATTTTTTTTAGTACATATTGTATAACACTTCTCTATTTCATGTATTGTTCTGTAGTGTAAAAACTCCTTGCATGACCTTTCCCTGTAGCCTTTTAAAAAGGACCCTGGAATTAAGTGCCTGCACAAAAATAAAAATAGCTACCGGTAGCTGAATTATTTAGCACAGATCTCTGCGGCAGTTTGGCAGATGTTAAAGAAAGGAAGCAACAATTGGCTTTGCTAGTACTTAAAAAATAGTTGTGTAATAAAATTGTTTAATAGCTCTGCTAACATTCATCAATGTCTTGTTCTCTTCAGATGATCTCATTTTCGTTCATTAACCTTTCTTGTATGCCCCCATGCATCTGTTAAGGTTGGTGATATTGAATGCGAGGTCATCATACTTTGTTGGTTTTCATGGAAACACCAAAAGGTCTGTCATCTGCTGGGGGGGGGGGGGGGCACTTCTGAATAATTCCTTACAGGATACTATAATTCCCAGTCTTGGTACAGTATATTTCAATACAACCAATTAATTCAGTCTTGCCCGGACAGAGTAGAATTAGTGCTTACATTTGAATTTCCTATGGAATTGTCAGCATGGGACTCTGAGTGTTCAGACATTTTCAAATCAGACTGTATGTGAAACTATTTATTGAAATTTTGTATTTTGGTAATGCTACTGTAATAATCTGAGATGTAAATTATTTGTGTTGTGACGATATTGATCTTGAGTACTTTAACTGCTTGAAAAAGAGCATTAAAACATTAACTGCTTGAGTTACAGCAATAGGTGTTGGATGATACATTTACATTCCTGTTTGAAAGTTTTCTCTAGAAATAATGTTTAAACTGTTCAAAACTAATGTTTTAGTAGACTTTGCTGCTAAACATCTGTAATTGTTTTAGCGAGTTAAATTAACTTTAATTGATAAGGTGCTCAAGAAAGAATTTATGATTTAAACTAAAAATACTTTGTTGTTCAGCTTTGGAGATGCAAAGGTAACTCAAGGTTGCTCAATACAATTTCCCGGAATGTGGCGGGTTTAAAGTGGATGTACAAGAGTTCTCATCAATTTAAATATTGTCATTTCTCAATTGTTGAATCTCTTAATATCATTGACATTAAACTCATTAAGGTTGACCAATAAAGTTTCATTGTTGCTTTTTGCACAGTTATGTGCACAAGTGATTTTGCCATTTTCTGTTTAACCTTGATCCATATTTGCAAATTCAGTATTGGAATAAAAATTAACTATTATGTTAATTTTGCAATTTATTTATACATTTTATTTTAAATATTCACATCAACAAAAAGTATTTGGAATACAACAAAAAAAATGAGAAAGTACTGAAACTGAAATGATATCTTTACAAATGGGTTGTACCCCTTTCTTTATTTCGTAAGAAAAGAAAATATTTTCATAATTGAAAGGGTAATGTTTTACTTTATCTCTGTATTCAATGTTAAGTAAGAAAGTGTATCTCAAAGATTTGGTCCATACCCTAATTTTTTCCTTCTCGTTTGATCTTTCATATCATTATGTAAGTTTTGAGTTCTCTAGTTAATGTAGGTAGAGTACAAAGCATTTTTTTGAGAGTGGACTGAGGGCTAGCCGCTACGGTTTTATAAATTGTACCACGGTCATTGTGAATTCAAGTGATTTCAACCAGGATGTTTGTAGTCAAATAAAATATTTGAGGTTGTTACAGTGTATCACCATGGAAATTCAAGAATATCCATTGGGCAATTCAATAAATCCCCCTCCCTATTCTATCATAAAATCTGCACTGCACATGCTCATTACCATTTAGAGAACTCAAAAGTGGTCTGTTGTAATACTATGCACATTTACATAAATAAGCTTTGTGAGATTTGATATTAGGTTGTTAACTATTTTTAAAAGTTTTCTTTTTTCTATTCATTATATTTTTTGTATATGTTTAAAAACAGATGATTTATGTAGTAGTTGTACATGTATGTAGGTGTATTTAATAACAGTTTGCTTATGGGTGCACCATTAGAAACTCTGGAAGGAGTAGAATTAGAAAAAAAATATGAACAGAACAAATTTATAAAAAAAAAAGAAAGCAAAAGATCTTTTACAGCAAAAAAAAAGTATTCAAAAGAATCAAGAACTAAGTTAAAATATTTTTTGTTGTTGCCCCATCTTCTCTCTCAGAGTTTCCCTTAGTCAACCCCTATCATGCTGTCTAGTGACTATCCAGTTACCTACCAATCTTACTGAGTGGTCGTCTCCTGGTCACATGATTACAACCCAGAATAAACTGTTAGCAATAATGCCTACTAATACAAGATTTATTTTTTGAGGTTTACCAATATGTCATGCAGTTGCCATGGACAATATGCTACTAAATGTAATTGCATTTATGTTTTCCACACAACTGACATCAACTTGTACGTGACTCTTCTTGGTGTATTAATGTAGTCAATTTATAAGTTTGTACACTAATGCATTTAAAGACTGTAAAAAAATGAGTGAATATTTATGAATTTATAAAGAATAATATAATAAATGTAACTATGTTCCGCATAATTCTTATGGTTGGTAGTCATGAATTATTTTGTGAATACCGTAATGTTTGCTGTGATTGGTTGATCTTTACTTAAAATACCTTGTTACAAACCTCACAATTTTTTCGATGTGGGATTTGTGTGGCATATTGTAGATTATTAGTATTAATAATATGTTGTTTGCAAGAGAGTAAATCTCACAAAAGGCCTGGTATCTTCCGCTTATTTCGTGGGTCCTTCGTCACTTTCCATAAGTGAGGATAATAGTCGAGAATTGTTTCCGTGGCAACTATTGGATGATACAGTGTGTAGAAAACATACAACTGTTATCAATTGTTCTGAACATTAGCATATTGAGAGTAGCAGTATGCTATTATTATCAACAAATCAACATCAGGCTCACCCACTGACCGTACATGTATAATTTAGGCAACATGTCTAGACTAATATGAAGAGGGACAAACGAACAATGAAATAAGGGAAGGTAACCAAGCTACTGTTATAGAGCCCTCAGTGAAAATTATAGTATTTTCTTGTATATCCAGGGAAAGATTGATCAAACCAGTGAGTTATGAGTGGGCATGGCTACGATTTTTACTGGTAGACAATATACCTCAGTCCTGGGGAAATGATTTGCACAGCATCTGCAATGCCAATAGGCTCTCAGACCTATTAAAGAAAAAGGAAATATTTGGCACATTGCCATAAAAAGGAAGAGAGTTTAGTCTTTGCCATTCCACTTATACATGATAGTCTCCAGGTAATGTTGCCATGGAAATCTGCATACCGATGTCTGAGAATTACTTTGGGGTATAGATCTTCTTCTAACTCTGGTTGTCTGGAGTGGGGTTGTGACCTAGGTCTTGCCCCTCTACGTGCACATTGAAATGTGCAGACAAGTCACCTTTCACACTCTTTTACAACATGAACTGAAAGGATTTCTATAAAATGGGTTTTCATTCTTATAGATGTGTAATAAGTTTTGGGTAGATACCAAATTATTGCGGCAAAAACAATTGATTTATATCTACTTTAAGTCCAGTTTAAATATCAAGACATGCCACTAATGGAAAACTGCAATAAATATTACCACACTTCCCAGTCTTAGCTGGAATATCATATCTTCAATCAATACTAACTCATACATGTAATATCAAAATACATTCACTACTTTTTTTAACAGTTATTTTTTCTTTTTCTGTTATACTTTTATTTATTGTTGTTGTATTTTTTGTATTTTAAATATATATTTTCTGTATCTTTTAATATTTATTGTATGTTAGTCCAGATCTCAATGGAGATAGGTTGACAATGAAGTTATTACATGTATTCTCTACATCTTACATTATATTTATATTGGAGAATGAACAGGCACTCCTTTTTCACAGTTTTATGTCCGAATGTATTAATTGCATCAGAAATGTGTTATTTAAACACTATAATTACCTTCATATAACTAAGCAGCAATTGAGTGTGTGTGTGTGGAGGAAGGGGCAAAATACTAAATTTAACACTAAATACACTGTCTGACAGATTCAACATCCCCTGCCATGCATTTAGTGATATTTACTTGTTGTATTTTCTTTATCAGCAGCAACTATGAGATGTCAACAAACCAGTGATTAAAATAATCCAGGAGCCGGGAATTATCTACATATTATCTGCTAGTACCATAAGTGAAGTGTTATAAATGTAATAATTACACATACCAAATATATGGCAGAGTTAACT